AGAAACTGAAATTAGCCTTGGAGGGGTTAGAAACTGCTTTGGATCAACTGGGTGCCTTCATGCCTATGCTTATGGTTGGACTTTGCACTCTTTTCTAGCATGTGGATATGGAAAACTCCTATCTCTGTGGATACTTGAAGATTAAAGGCCTTACAGAGGTAAGTGTTAACTGCAAAACAACAAGAAAAGGTGCTGTGTAAAGGGTTTTCTTTTTCCTGGTGGGGTGGGAGAAACTGCCACCAGAAATAGGAAGTGAAGGGCTTGAGCATACAGTGAATTTGACCGCGAAGTAGTTTAATAGCTTCAGTTTGTTGTTCTTGGCATGTTGAGCAAGTACGATGGGCCGCGATGGGAGTCCTGAACGAGGGAAGCTTATCTGGCATCCCTTAAGGTCTGAGCAGAACGGAGTCTGACCCTGCAGTCAGCTTTAGGCCCTCTACCAGTGGTGGTGCGTTGCTGAAAGAAAATAAACCAGGACCCGAACAGTCAGATCTTTACGTATTTCCTTCCCTACGTATCCTCTGAGATCTGCTCGTGGTGTCAGACGGCCGGTGAGAACTCTCTCCCGGGGGCGGTGGCGCTTTCGGCTGCGGTGCACCGCGTGTCTGTCGTTACACGGGAGCGCTTGGAGAAGCTCGCTCACCCCAGCTGAGCCTGCTATTCCCTGCCTGCGTTCTCCTAATTCGGTGCCAATGCAAAGCTGAAGAGGAGCACCTTCTCCCCCGGTGGGGTGGCTTAATCCAGCCCTTGGGCTTTGTAGCAGTCGTGCAGCAACCGCCGGGTATCTGCCGGGGAGCGGTGCTGGCTGTAAATGGTCACCTGCGATCGTCCAGCTGGGAGCTTCCCCACAGTCCAGCTCTGACATGGCTCCTTCTGGTTTCATGAAGTGAACAGAGAGGCAGAGAGAGGCTGGAAGAAGAGGGCGGAGGCTGTGCGTGCCTACGAGTCAGACTTTAAGAGGTGTGGGGCAGGACGAGGCAGCGTGCTGCTCGGAGGGATGGGAGCACCGGCCTCGGATTGCTCGGAGCTCTTGCTGCGAGATGCCATTTTTTGCTGAGCGCGTGCACCTTTATCTGCGTTCGAGTTTCTGTCTCTAGATGACAAATCTCCTGACCTCTCTTTCGTCTGTCTTCTCTCCTAGGAGTACCCAACCCTCACCACTTTCTTTGAAGGAGAAATAATCAGTAAAAAGCACCCTTTCTTAACACGCAAGTGGGACGCTGATGAAGATGTGGATCGTAAACACTGGGTAAATAAATCAGGGGGGCAGATGCGGTCCTGGCTGAGCAGCTGGTTTGGAGATGAAGTGCAACGTGTGCCCGTGCAAGAGCTGTCAGAAGGGCCTGGAAACCTCTCCTTTTTGGGTGTCTTCCTCCTTTTCCCGTTGGGATCTTTGCAACTAGAGGTCCCTTCAGCAGACTGTTGGCTGTGATCCACGAGAAGGGAGGGGGTGTCTTGCTTTCCACTTGCTGGCCCTGGGGTTGGAAAGGGAGCAGGAGCAATCCCCGTCTCTCGACCCGCTAGGAGAACACGCTCCTTCTTTTGAAGACTCATTGCAAAATGGAGTGGAGAAGGGGAGAGGTGCCCCTCTGGCGCAGGCAGGGCGCTTGGTACCTGCGTCTCAGCCACCTCAGCCCTCTGCTCAGGACAGGGTGTGTCTGCCACTGTGCTCTGGATCAGGGCCACAGCAGCCAGCTGATTGCATCCCCGCCTTGACCTTTGCTGTTGTTTGCCAGACTTCGATGTTTATTATGTTTCTGTCAAAATATCTTCCTCTGGAAGTGTAGGAGCTTCTCCAGCCGGGCTGGATATGGCTGGGGGTGTCCGGCAATCCTCTGTGTTCCCCGGTGCTGGTCCTGGGGTGTGCGTTTAGCGCTGCTCCGGGGAAAGAGCAGCCCCTTTGGTGAGGAGGTCCTGTTCCGTAGCACTTCTTCCCTCCTAAATAGCAGCTGGCACTAGTGAGCTCTACTCCTGGAATAAGCATCCTGGGTTTTTTTCTTTTTTGTTTCAGGGGAAGTTCCAGGCTTTTTACCAGTATGCAAAAACATTTAACTCTGATGACTTTGATTACGAGGATCTGAAAAATGGGGACTATGTCTTCATGAGATGGAAGGTAAACTCCGCATGTCTCCTTCTCTGATGAGCTGCTTACAAGCGACTGACAGAGGCTTGTGGTGCCTGAAAGCTTTCTCAGCTACGCTGGTTTAATGAAAGGTCTGACCCTACCAACCTCGTAACCCACCATACTTGCAAATTCCAGTGTGACTCCTGTCTAGCCGGCTAATTGCGTCCTTAAGGGCTGCAGTCACGGCTAAAAACGCAACAGGAAAATCTTGCTTGGTGATGCTCCAGAGGGTGAGAGAATTGGTGTCTTCGGTCCCTGTGCGGGGCCTGTGTGTTTGATGCAGACTGGCCAGTCTGCACCTCTCTGCTCTTCCGCTGGATCGATTCCTCCCTCTTTACACAAGCTTTGTGCAGCTGTGATGGGAGGAAATCGTAGAATCACAGAAAGGTTTGGGTTAGAAGGGACCTTTAAAGATCGTCTAGTACACGCCCCCTCCCCTGCCACGGGCAGGGACATCTTCCAGTTGCTTAAAGCCCCGACCAGCCTGACCTTGAACACTTCCAGGGATGGGGCATCCACAACTTCTCCGAGCAACCTGTTCCAGGGTCTCGCCACCCTCATAGTAAAGAATTTCTTTCTTGTAGCTGATCTAAAGCTACCCTCTTTTAGTTTAAAACCATTACCCCTTGTCCTATCGCTACAGGCCCTGCTAAAAAGTCTCCCTCCATCTTCCTTATAGCCCCCTGTAAGTATCGAAAGGCTGCAATAAGGTCTCGGAGCCTTCTTTTTGCCATCAGGCAGCTCTGATTCCTGATTTTGCAATTGGCTTCTGGTTTGCAGTGGGCAGGTGTTGAACTGAAACTGATCTCGTGCACTCAAAACTGGTTCTGTTCTCGGTTGTCTGCTTCCCTGTAAGATGCCTACGGTGGCAGGTGGTGAAAGAACAGTTTGGTTTCTGTGGTCTGGG